TGGTTAAGACATTGTATATTAATACAGATGGCTGAGGATCCTTTTGCATTTTGTAGCTAGCAATCCTAAAAGTGAACAACTCCCTCCATGCTGGACTCCAGAGGCTTATGGGCTGGGTTTTCAAACCTAGAAGCTTTATGATAGCCTAGAATCAGAGAACTGTGATTCCATATCCTCAGAGTGAGAGACTTATTAGTCTGAACTTCCAAAGGCAAAATCTTATTGCTCTAGGCCTTGAGAACTAGAGGCTTATGTCTATAGGTTTCAAAGCCTGAAACTTATGCTCAGGTTAGAGGCTAAGTGGTCTGTGATCTGAGTGCTAGCCCAGCACCTAGCAGTGTGTTCCAGTGCCAAGATTCTGGATCTTTAGCTCCTAACCTTTGAAGCTCTCTGCAACTCCTTCAGAATGGTATTTCTTCCATAGAGTAGCATTTCCTCTATTCGCAAAATATTTTATCCCAAATTCATCTTTTCAGTTTTAAAGAATTTATCAACATTTAGACATTTAACATTTAATATGAAAGAAATCACTTAAGGATTAATGGTTCTTCTAAAAAAAAGAATTCATAGTTCTTTTTGAGGCCAAATATTTCTATAAACAATAAGAAATGTGTGTAAATGAAATGTAGTTACTGAAAGAATTGCCAAACAGAAGCAATTTTAACTATTTTTCTTCAGACTATACAGAATAAATTCTTACCTATTGTATTTTTCTCCCTAGGTAAACATGTCAAACCTTTTACACCAGAGAAAGCCAAAGAAATTATAATGTCTTTACAGCAACCTGCAGTTTTCTTTAACATGGCTTCTGATTGGCCAGCACGACATTGGACTGCCAACCATATTTCAAAGCTCCTTCCTAGCAAGCAAATACGATTTAGAATGGGACTAAAAAGCAGAGACACAGGTAGGGCTATAACTCATCATTCCAGTGTCTGTTGACTCCACTTCCTCTTCCCAGTGGGAATTTCTGATTTCTGGGATTTTTTTTTTGTCTTCAATCTTCTTTTTAACCATTCACTGTATAAATAGATAGATTTTTTTTTCTGTTCCTGTAGCTTGAACTCTGGACCTTGAGCTGTCCCTGAGCTTCTTTTGCTCAAAGCTAGTGCTCTACCACTTGAGCCACAGCTCCACTTCTAGCTTTTTCTGTGACTAATTGGAGATAAGAGTCTCATGGACTTTCCAGCCTAGGCTGGCTTTGAACTGAGAACCTCACATCTCAGCCTCCTGAATAGGTAGGATTACAGGTGTGGGCCACAAGCACCCCACTTAGGAAAATTTTATTGGAAACTCTTGGAAAGTAGTTTGACATAATGTAGCTTTTTTTTTTAAGACAAAGCAATTGAGTTTAAATTCCCACATAAAATGAAAATGTATTTGTTCATGTATTGAATTATGCATGTTGCCAGACGTCAGCGAACATGGAAGACATTTAATAAATATTTATTAACATGCTATTATTTATATTACCATCTGACTAAAAAATGAACACTGTAATACTGTTGTTATATTAATATACAATCTAATAAGGAACAATACACTGTAATAGTTTTTTTTATTTTTTTTGGCCAATCTTGGGGCTTGAACTCAGGGTCTGGGCACTGTCCTTGAGCCTCTCTGTGCTCAAGGCTAGCGCTCTGCCACTTGAGCCACATTCCCAGACCTTTAATGTTTTTTTTTATTGTTATAAAGGTGATGCACAGAGGAGTTACAGTTAACATAAACCACTTAAAGAGTACATTTTTTTGCCAGTCCTGAGGCATGACCTCTGGGGGCCTGGATGCTGTCCCTGAGTTCCTTTTGCTCAAGGCTGGCAAGAGTACATCTCTTTTTGGACAATGTCACCCCTTCCCTCCCTTGACACCTGTAGAGTATGTTCTTTTATTTGTGGCTTCAGACTATTGATAGTGCTTGATTTTAATTGTAATTTTTGTCCTTTGCTTTACTGGCTGCCTGTATTGTGTTTCAAAAATATGGAACATATGTAATGATGTTTGTTTATGAGTATATGGTGTTAATGACCTAATCCTACTTATACAAGTTAAGCAAGCACTCTATTACCAACCTAAATCCCCAGACCCCTCGCTCTCCCTCTCCTTCTGTCCTTTTACTTGCCCTCTCTTCTTCTTTCCTTTCCTCCCTTCCTCTTTCTCTCCTCTCACTCATCTCTTCCTCTCTCCCTTGTACTAGGTTGCCCAGACTGGGCAATTGTTTTAGCAATCCTCTTACTTTGACCTCCAGCATTGTTGGGGCTATGAGTACATATTAACACTGGGTTTTGTTTGTTTATTTTGTTTTTTAATTCTCAAGCAGATTGATTTTGCCTGCTCCCTTTTCTTCATAGAAGTTTTCGAACATTTCCATTTTTCCCTCTATTTCTAGTTAAAACAATTGTCTTTAACAGTTAACTCTAGAATTCAGTTACTATAAAGGAAAGAAATGGTGTTAAAATACAAAGAAGTCCATAATAGTTGTCTAGCATCCAATTTGTATTTTAATATGGGTGAGAAATTCAGTATTTAAGCCTCACAGTGAAGTGGCTTTTGAAATCTATTAATAGCTCAAGAGGAACTAGAAAGTTCCCCCATGTCCCATCTATAGCTCCATGTTCTTCTCATGTTTTTAGTGCCTAGAACCCTCTTAGACTTCTGTGACAGAGACAGAAGTGTTATTTATATAGGTATCTCATTTTAATCACAGCAATGAACTGTTGATGGTATCTTAAAGTTAAAGACCAGACTAACAGCAATAACATAAAATCAGGTTGTACTTTTTCCTTCCTCGTTCTATTGAAAAAGATCTGTCACTCATTGAAGCAGCCTGTTAGATATAAACTTGAAGAGAAACAGGAATTGTATCTCTTTCACATCCTGGCTAGACTGCAGATTTACTACCACTACTAGCAGCTAAAATGGGTTGAAACCTGTTGTCTCAGGCCTATTAACTGTTTACCTGAATCCATTCTGTTAATCTGCTTACCACCTAGAATGGTACTATTCTTAGAATGGTACTGTTATTATTATGTGCTATAGATGGGGCATAGTAATTTGACATTTTCAAGTTAATATTTGAGCATAAAAGAAAATGAAATGAAACTCTGCAGTTGTAAGAAACTATTCTGTGTTTTCAGTAAAGATAACTTGGTCTTTAAGAAATTCCTGTCAAGCCAGAAGTGGAGCTGTGACTCAAGTGGTAGAATGCTAGCCTTGAGCAAAAGGAGCTCAGGGACAGCACCCAGGCCCAGAGTTCAAACCCTAGAACTGGGCAAAAAAATTACTTCAAATTCCTACAACATAAAATTCAGCCTATTAGGGGCTGGGAAGGTGGCTCAGTGGTAGAGCTCTTGCCTTGAATACCTGAGGCCCTGGGTTTGATTCCTCAGCACCACATAAGCAAAAAGAAAAAAGCCGGAAGTGG